TTTGATTCAGGACGGGGAACTGCGTCGGCCATCATGCGTGTCCATAGATAGATGCAGGAACACTGGCCTAAAAGCAGATTTGAGTAAGGAAGTACATGATTTAAAACAGGTCCATGGGGGACGGTAGGGGAAATCCGTAACGAAACTTCGAGATGTTTCACGGCTAGTGTCGCTTCAGTTGTTAATAGCTTTTCTGCAGAACACGGGACTGGGAGAGATGCCGAAGGTAGACGTCAACATCAACCCTTCTGTTAGGGGTCATCACCATTCTCCCATCCGTAGCATATGTACTTCTTCCGCTCCACCAAGGCTTATCACGCAGAAGTGGAAAATCAGGGTACATGTCTTTTAAGATTGGGTTCGCTTTCCGCTGCCACCAATGTAGCGTCCCGAGACTCCCTGAAGACGAGAGAAGACACAATACTCGGGCAGAACATATATATATTCAGCACGAAGAAGGTGTCTGGGCTATTAGCATGACCCAAAAGGCCAGCCCACCCAGCGAGGTACAAGGGGCCTAATTCAAAGTACAAAAGTGGCGCCTCACCAGAACCGAGGGATAAATCACTATCGTATTACAATACAATTTCGAGAAACTTGCTTCTGTAAGATGATTTCCTATTGGAAATCAGGGGAAAGCCCAGCCAGAGTGGGCTCCATTTTCATCTCATTTTATTTCTTATTCCTTCAATCAACTTGGCATATGGTCTTCAAATTCCAAAAAATGTAGACATCATCAAACAAAATAACATCCACTGGGGAAGTTAGCAGGATGGGAATGGAGTAGTATCTCCAACTTCCCATCATAGAATGCAGTATGGAGCACTATCACAGCTGTTTGAGGTATAAAAATGTAATAAGAGCACTTTCTCCGTCTGATCCACTAGTCATACCTGTTTCAGAGGAGGAATTCTCCTTGCACGTCCTGAAACATGTCGAGTAGATAGGCGCAAGTCAATAAACGATGAAAGAAGTGGTAATACAGAATAATAGCTTTGGAAGCTTATTCCCCTCTGCTGATATGCGGCACGAGTTTGTTTATTGCCTCCCATGACTACTCGTGCAATTGACGTAAATGCAAATGAATTATTTTACCACTCACTATAATCATCACTGAAACTTGTTCTTAGGATGGAAACCTCAGCCGATCGCTTTAGTACCAACACCTAATTCTTTATCTTCATTAGGAGTAAAGGATGTCCCTAAAAGCGATTTGCCGATCTTTTCGAGTAATTTTATCAACGGAATCAAACAAATGCAAATCATCTTAGGGCGGTGCATTCTTTTACCACTTTCTCTCCTTACCCAGCATGAAGATACACGAGAAGCTCTCACAACTTTTATGGTACAAAGAAAAGTTTAAAAAGGAAAACAAAAGAGTTTTTAATAAACAAGACCTTACTAGTAAGTGATGTAATATCTGGTTTTTTCTATTATATACCATCTCATGTAATTGACCAGCACCTATGAGTTATAAGGGGTCATTGCAGCAACGTATACCAAAGACTGAGCAGACTTTTCGGTTCACCTGTCAAATAAATATGGACTATTAGTTTTTTTTGTTTTGAAGAGCTGAAACTTATTTGATGTCTACTTTGACACATTCCTCTTTGAAAATCCATATTGCAAATTTTGCGCTTAAAGCTCTTTAGCGACCCAATTCTTTGTCATCTTGTGCAATAAACCAAGGGTATTTCATCTTCTTAACTGCTTAAAATTATCCCATTTTGTTTAAAATGTCCGTTTTATAGTAAAAAAATTCTAAAAGCCTCTAGAAACCATGTCATTAATAATACTAAATCCAATATCATATTTGAATGGAGCTTATTTTGTCTCTCTTAGTTAGTGTAATGTGTTTAAATAATAAGTAATGTCTAGAAGATCTTGGATCCACTAGAAAATAAAAGCCCCGTTTCGTGTGAACGTTAAGAAGGAGGCGGTACCTTAAAAACACGTGGCGTTCTTGATAGCAAATCTACAGGAATTATCAAAGTAGATTACAGTCGATGAAATGGAATGTTCTACCCATTACAGGGTTTTATCAGGTTTTCCAGAGTAGACAGCACTCATTTCACAGGGGATGTTTTGTTTTTGCGCACAATCCTTCACCTCATCAAAATACACGCCCATATGGTTTTGCGCCAGTTCAAATGAGAGAAGTTGCCTGTATTTTAAAGTACATTCTTTCATGTTTAGTGAATTCATGCGTTTCAAAGCAACAAGTATAAGTTCTTTTCCCTTTTTAAGTAAGAAAGAGGTTATTTCAAATGATTTTAATTCCACCATTTACGGTCGGTTACGCAGTGTACATTTTAAGTGCTTCTGAAACGTCTGTGTGAATTTAACTGCGGTTTCTGACTCATGCCTTTTCGTGTTTGAACCGTTTTCAAGACGCAGTGGAACCACAAACATTCAACTGGCGCCAAATTCGAAGTCAGTAGACTCTAAATATCCTCAAAACTCCCTACTACTTGCTAATTTTTGCCCTCAATTTACTAATTTCCTGATTATAAAAATCAAAAGCGGTCTACTCAGATTAATAAAGTTTAAATGTTTTGTCCAAATTTACAAACTTGCTGGGATTTCGTGTGCACTGAGGGATATGCTACCTCAGCTAGAAAAGCGTCCATTTTTTTTTCAATGTCAAAATTGTGACTAAACACTTCTCCTTCAGCGTTAATCCCCTGTGGTTCTGTCCATGCGAAATCATTGGCTAAAGTGAATCAGCTTTGCCAGGACGCAATTAGTTCAATAAAAAAAATCTAATTCAGCAGAGCTTGTTTAACGTATGCTTGAGTAATTTAAACTGGCAATTAAGCAAAGATCATGATCTCTGGCGATTCACTAAGTGGTTTTAAATGAATAAAATCTTTAAAATAGCTAAACAAATACAGTATTTATTAATTGTCATGTCAAAAAACAAGTTAAGCTGTGCTTTGTGGTGAGTAAAATAACAAATCCAAAACATTAACGTTCATTTGTTCTGAAACCGGCAATGATGCATCTCAGCGATACCGTAGACATCCACATAAATTCAGTTTACGGCCTCACCTTGCCTGACTGGAAACGAGGACTGCTTTGCTTTGCTTTTGAAGCCACCTCCACAAAGCTTTCCACACACTTCATTACTTTGCACCACTTCTTCACCCAGCTTTTAGAATCTGTACAGCTACCATGATGACTTTGTTTGCATTTGAGGAGATATCGTTTCAACATCTCACATTGATTACATTATTTTCCTAAACCAAAACACTGATTCAAGTTTTCTCATTTGAATAATGCAAATTTATATGAAATGGCCAAAACGTTTCTGTAATTCGTGATAAAACACGTTCTAATTATTTCCTTTAACTTTCAAGCACTGAGTATATGCATGATTGTTTATTCGTACATATTATAAAGCATGGAAATCATCAGTTTGTCGGTATGGCATTCTTTAGTGTTTTTCCTTCATTTCCCTGCTATTCTAAACCGTCGCATCAGTACATGTTGGCTGAACGTAACTGATGGATGAGTTTGGATGATTCGTGCTTTCCAGATCAAGTTTATCGCAATTCTAAGTCTTCAAAAACTCGTTTTTTGCCAAATTTTTTGCTGCATGGCAGTTGAAAAACATGTAGCTTATGGTAGCAGAACAATGTGTTGCCCAGAGTTGGCTTACATAAATGACTTGATTTCAGCAATCATTTGAAAAATTGGACCATGGTGTTTAGGAACATCCCCTATTCAATGATAATTTTAGAGCACTACACTCGCTACTAAGGAAAGTATGTAGAGATAAGCACGCAAAGGAAATTTTAGTAATACTTACACTTATGTTAACTGAAGTGGTACAGATGTAGTGGAAGTTGGGCAAATAGAGTTTAAGCGGATCCTATCCTTAAAAGATAGCGCAAAACTCCACGCCGCCACAAAACTTATCTGTGAAGAGATTTGCACTTTAATAGTGGAAGGGAGAAGTTACTGTCACATCATTCTTAGTCCTCTGAAATAATGCTTCTCCAGGCGATGATAATGACCTTTTCTTCTCATTATGCAATCAAGTGGAAAATAGACTTAAGAAATCGAAGTGATGGTAAGACGAATGTGACTTGAGCCGGATTTTGGTTTTAATGATATAATGTTTCTCAAAGGCAAGTTAATACCCCATTTTTAATACCGATTAAAGCAAAGGACAAATATTTTAATAGGCTTCCTCTATCAGGTCTTGACGACTTGTTGTTCTAACTTTATGCTTTTTGTCCATATTTGCTTAAAGTTCGTCAATGATTTTCTTAGGTACTCTTCCTGCTTTTATATGTTTTAAAAAAAGGCAAACATTTATGTGACGTAATAGTAATAAATTCTGGTATAGGAAAGAAGTTAAATAGTTGTCAAAATGATTCTCAAATTCCCTTAATAAAATCCTTTTAAGAGTTAGCTCAAGTCTCTTAGTTGCAAGCAAATTTACTCAAAAAAAACTTTTATTACTGTCTGCCATAAATTTATTTTGTGCGAGGAAATAGCTTAAATTGTCAGCGAGTATTGGAACAATTTATCAAAGTGAAGTAGTGTACCGAATTTTATAAACAAAATATCGTCAGTTTTAAAAAAATTATGGGTAAAGTGTGGGATACTTGTGTTTTTAGTTACTTTTTTTCAAAATATTGCAAAATATACAAATTTTCAGCATTTTCTGAGGCTTGACATTTGACAAAATTATGCTGCGCTAGTCAATTTTTTTCAAGACTTCACTAATATTACACCTTTTTACATAGCCTTGATTAGGCGACCCCTTGTCTGTTGGTAAAAATGCTTTGCTGGGAAATAAAGATGTGAATTTGTACTCCTATGGAAAAGTATGGGGCGGATGCTAAGGAAACACCGACATGCCTAGGCTAAGCGACTCTTTGTAAACAAACGGGCAAGTCAGAGGGGGTGTTTTGTAGACAGAACCGACATGGCACATGATTTATAGTCTAGGGCTCTGCCCAATCCACGGCCAGTTCCGAGTATCCTAGCCACCAGAAACACTTTGCCTCAATGCCTCCTTAGAAAAAGCAGTCCATGAAAAAACCATTTAAGTAGTCATTGGGCTGCCATAAATGAGCACTTTACACCATTTCTAATGGACATTGTTAATTAAACTGACTAGCCTGATTAGAAGTGCTACTTACTAGCTGGAGTTAAGTTCCCGTAGAATAGGAAATTTTAACCATTAGAACAAAATTTGGAGCGGAAGAGAATGGTGAAAGATTGAAAATGATCTCGTTAGTCATTCAGGAAATGAGTCACACGTGTGACAGTTAGAGAAAAAAAGCATATTTCCCCATTTATTCTGCCAAAAAAAATCCATCTACAATAAAGGTAGAATGACAATGTTCTCCTATGCATAATAGCTTTCTATCAAATATGTTACAATTTAGTAGTAAACAGAACGAAGAGTATTCGCCCCTTTTGGGTCGACTTACAAGTGTATATTTAGAAAACAGGAATTGTGCATGTTCACTTTAACACAAAACATTGCTCCTAAGTAGCTTGTTAGGAAAAACTGCTTTTTCATTCCATTAAAGAAGGCCAGCATTCTATAATTGCGGAAAAAATTCTTTTGAATCTTTGCATCTGATTTAGTAGCAAGAAAAGGTACCTACAATCCCAACTTGTAAGAAGTAAGTGTGAAATGACCACAGATTCGCATTGTAACCTACCTAGAAAGGTCCTTTTGCTGGCAGTGTAGAGATGTTATAAATCAGTTTACCTACAGGGACGAGTGGGGCTATATGTGCCTTCGCTTAACCTTCAGACGTTGTACACATTTACAGCACTGCGGTCCTCATTTATGTTTAAGTTCCCAAATTTCTGGTCTACAAATTTATAAGACCCTTTCATGTATCTCTGAGATATTCTTAGAAAAGGTTCTTATTTACCAATAAAGTGTTGATTTTTTAACAAGCGACCACTTTTATAAAAACTCTTTAGTTTGTCTACTTTTCTGTGAGACTATAATGTAAGTAGGAAATTAATAAAAGCGACTGCTATAGGTTGTATAAAGAATTAAACACTTTAACGTAGACTGAGAAATAGTACTTTGTTCTTTGGATATTTTTAGAGCAAATAAGCTCAAATAAACCACGTTCCCTATTAAAATATTCAAGTCAAAACAAATTAAGCCCTGATTTCATCCTCAGGATATTTGTACTCATCATCTCAATTTATTTTGCTCAGGCACGTAAGAAGGTCTACAATGTAACACTTTTAAAGGTTGATACATGAAACTAACAGACTAACAAACTTAACCTTCAAGCAGTCTTCTATTCGTTTTTCTTAGAAACACTGTTTCCATTACACATTTGGCATTAGGAGTAAGGTCCAGAACAAACATCATAAGTTATCTCTAGACAATTCACTCACTCACTATATCCTCGGGGAACTATGCATGCTTTATGTGTGGGGTGAATTGCAAGCACAATTACCTACTTCGGACTCTTTTATGATAAAATAAATAGATTATGGTTTTGACCTATCTACTCGATACATCTCAAAAAGTGCAAGAAAAGTTCTTCCTCAGTAACAGACGAAACTATCAGATTAGTCGGAAGAGAGCAGACTTCACATTCATAAAAGATAACACAAAAGGAGTCCTTAAACCCAATTCCTCAAAACCCATCTTTGGAATTTTGCCTCATCCTCAGTATCTCTCAAGTAACATCCATCCAATTGTCGATTAGCACCCATTCTTGAAGCACATGCGAAATACAAAAGAGTTGAGGAAAGAATGAGGACGAACTCGAAAGCTTATGTCTTTTTGAAGATGGAATTTATTGCAAAAGCGGTCAATCTTACGAAATTAGTATCTTATGAAATTTTCTGTTGTCATTTAACGCCTACTTTAAGACTCACCTAATTCTTAACTTAGCCACCTTTTATTTTGCCCCATTCAAAGTTTCCCAATATCAAAATCACAGGATAGAACGTGCGTTTCAAGCTGGGATTGTCACTCCAAAGACTAATTTAATTCCCAAAGAGTCGATGTCAATCATGAATACCTAATGACCAAATAGCTACTTTATAGTATTAATTCAGTAGTACATTTTCTTAAGGAGTCACCTTTGGCAACGCGCTGTTTATACCGCGTCGGTAACGCATTCTTATAAAAACTGGTGTTATCCATCATAAATTATTGTCCTTGTTCCATAATAATTACGCCTTTATGAACTCCGCGTCGGCTAAAAATTAGAGATAGTTACTCTCCTATAATATTTTAACGCCAAATGGTTTTACATATCATACTGTTAGGACAATAGAGGCAAATTCTTCAGTCGATTATGTGTTTAATAATTACGTAAACTCCCGTGGCAGTTGACATTGGAATGTCATATAATACAAACTTCTATTTCTTCGTTAAATTGGTGTTCATCATACAACAGGTGTTCTTAAAATATGCTCCACCTGTTAATATTTATCTTGGGGCTTCACAAATGGAGCCGTATTTATGTAATTTGCTCAAAGATCCAAAAAGTTGAAAGTTTCTTTCTTGCCTTCTCTAATAATCCTGTAATATGGTTCCTTAAATAAAACAATTTCCAAATGCGGTTAACTGAAGCCCTTTCAAACAACCCACACTTTTGTTAAAACAAATGGTCTAAATTTCATCTATTGCTAAGTAGGCCAAACATTATTTTTTTGTAACGAATGCTCCGAGTTACTGGATGGGACGTAAATTGATTTGAACAACTGGGAGCCACTAAACAAGTTTGAACAGCTGAAAGTCAAGATAATACCCTTATATTTGGAATGGATTAGTGATAAAACCCTGCGTTCGATTAGTTTGAGATGGGTTAAATGGGATCTTTGCATTAAATCACCGATCAGTTTCTAAGAACCGAGTTAGTCACACTAATGTAAGCCTCACTTCCTTCGCATGCCTTCCTAGTCTTCACTGTTTACGCCTTTGTTTTGTGCTACAAATTCCACAATCTAGTATGCAGAAATCTAAGGTCGCATCTGTTACACTCATGCAATCTACTTAGATAAGGCGAGCCCTCAAATTTCAAGACTTTTTGTTACCTGAAATAAATTAATTATAAATCTAATAAAGGGACCTCAACTTCAGGGTTTTTTAAAGTAAGAAAGAATGTTTCAAGATCGAGTTTTGGCTATAGGTTTTACAGAGACTGGTGCACTACAAACATGCTTCAGTGTATAAAAGTCATTTTCTTTCAAACTCTACAAACCTTAATCTTCTTTTGCTTGTGGCAAAGCTACACCGTTCCCTTACTGGAATCTGAGTATCTTTGCAAACGAGAAACTGGTAAAATCCTGTATGTTGATGTAAATAATTGCATAGCAGAATTAAAAACTGAATAACCGGAAATCCGCTACTTGGTGTTTCGGTTGAGGTATTAAGGAATCACCACTTTGAAATGTTTAAATGTTTTAAACTCCAAATGTAATTGCTGCTGTATAATTTTTTCCCTTTTGTTTAGTAAATTTAGCCATCATTAGAACTGGACCTACTCGAGTGAAAGTCTATAGTCCTAATTAGTCAACTCTTTTTAGAAGAATATTTTCCCCGTGTTAGAAACAGTCGCCATTAAATCGGGACGAATGCAGTTGCAAAACCATAAAACTGGCGAAAAAATTCCCCAAAAGAGGGGTCATGCCAGGCTGACCTCAGACATGGTCAAGCGTCTGAAGCTACTTGGGGCTGCCTGGATTCACTTGCATATTCATAAAGCGCGACATGAGCAAATCCTACGATTCTTGGATCCAGACACTTTGTAGGGAAAATCAGTAAGGTAGTGGTTTTATGGTCAGATTTGCCTTAGGCATGATGCTTTTGTCAAAAATTGTTTAATCAATGTGTGTTTTACAATCCAGATATTTTAACGGAACAATAAAATCATCTTTTAATCCGGTTTTGACAGGGTGATTTATTATTGTATGAGGGCCTTAACGAAGTTTCATGAAAAAGTAGTTTTTTTATTATTCAAGTAATACCAAAATGAAACCCAAAATTTTATTGCTGCAAAACCTCTCCTCAAAAGTACTCCACAAAAGTATAATCCCCTTTCGGCTATTTTTAATTCACAGCGTGACGGTTGCGCAGCTTGAGAAAATTACTTTCAAGCTATCGCGGTGGGAGTAGGCTTTTGTGTGCAAAGGTGCAACAAAAGTCGCTCCTTATTAGCATCGAATTTGGAACCTTTAAATGGTTTAAGTTTAGGCCTTTATGGCAAACGTAGGCGTCTTCCCGTCCACAAAAGAAAAAAATAAACCTTTGATAGAGTAGAGAGCTTCTCAGTCGCTATTTAATATTTCAAACTTGTGGGTTACTTTTGATTGCTTTTAAAACGAGTTATGTATACTTACGGTTTTATGTCAGTCTCCAAAACGGAGATGCTTAAGCACAATAGGATACACCTATCTACTGGGTGCTACCTAGATTGATGTGAGTCAGAAACTGTCAGGCAAGTTATCACCCAACCTGCCAATGTCTCCACTGCTAGTCATATTTTTGCAAAAAAATCCCCTATTTTGACTTAGCGTAGGACCTTGAAGGAGGCGTGGGTTATGTGAAGTAGGCATAACAACAATAGCGCAAATTGACGCACATTGTTACGAATAATAGTTCGCCTGTTGTGCGCTTTCTTCTAGGAGATCTTGTTATTTTAGGCATCTTGATTTAGAGCTGTTTCCTGTGTTCTGATCCTTTTTCTTTTGGATGGTAATAGAAGTAGACCAGAAATGGATGTTTTCATATTAAAGCCCCCTATTTTTTAATGGTATCCAAAAAATCAAATCCAAACGATTGAATTATTTAAGAAAAGAACTGGTAAAAACCAGAGTAACAACAAGCTTACAGTCGCTTGGACGCTAGGCAAACTTTTGGCCTAAAAACAACTTCAGTCTAAATGGATGTCCTTTAAAATAATTCATTTTTAAATTTCCGTAAAGTTGCTTTAATTTAACTGCATAGAGCGCCTTTTTAAAACCAAATATAACAGTTCATACCTCTTTAACTGTGGCTGTCATGACCATGCCGGAGGTGGCTCAATTACCAATCATGAAACAGGAATAAATGTAGGCACCAATGATGTATGGGGACTAGCTCTGGTAGGCGTCGTCAAGAAACGCAAAGATGACAGGTCTTTTGGTCAATCATGGCAGGAAGTAGCAAAAGGAGGGGGAGGGAGTATGAACTTTATAGATGACTATTTAGTAGAGT